CGAGGAGGCCGCGGTAGGTTGAAGCCGCCGCGCCACTGAATCACACTATCCTTGTTTTCTCCCTTCGCTTTCAGAGCGCCTTAAGAATCGGGCGGCGGGTCCTTTCCGTGCCTCCCTTCTGCCTTCGCTTTGTTGCTGTGAGTCCCGTAGTCCCCTGCTCCCCATTCTGTTGCCTTACAATCCGGCGCGCCTACAGAGCCTGGCTCCCAATTCTGGAAGTTTGGCGCTGTCAGCGGTGTGCAACTGAGCTCTTTCTCCCGGTGGCTGTAAGCTCGGGTGGGATGCAAGATCCAGCCTGAGTCGGTCACCGGCACAAGAGGTTTTGTCTTCCGAGCTTTCGGAGTCGTGCTGGAGCCCATTTTCATTTAAGTGTGGTATTTAAATACGTCACAGAGAACAACACAGGCTCTGCTAGAGAAAAATTCCCTGAAGATGGGCTCCAGCACGAGTCCGAAAGCTTGGAAGACAAAACCTCTCTGGTCCCGGTGACCGACCCAGATTGGATCCTGCAACATTATCCTGGGATACGTATATTCACCTTCAGTCGGATGGAATGTTTGGTTTGTTTCCTTTTTCTAGTTTCTAGAAACTATTTCTAGAAATGGGATGTATGGTTTTCTATGGTAAACTTGCACTCAAACAACATAGACTTTTAGTTCTATGTGTATGAAAAACTTCAGATAATTTCTTTTTTCCACAGAATGCAAGATTCAAAATTGAAGTGGTCATCCTGAGTGGGGGGGAAATGTAGGGTTAGACAAGTTCTTTTGGGCATTGCGCACCACACAAAGCCGCCTTGTTGGCATTTGACACCAGAAATGTTAATACTGTATTTGACAAATTTCTTGCTGTTCAAGACATGGGGGAATAAACTTTCCGCAAAATCAGTGTCAGTCTCGCTGTGGTGTTATTCATTGTAAAATTTCATTTTAGCTTAATTTTAGCAAACTCATTCTGGTTCTTATATGAGACAGCAAGCTGGCTGGGTTGTATAAGTATCCTATAAAGATCCAAATATTGATAGAGGTTTCAGTATACAATTTGAAAGAATTCACCATACAATTTCAAAGAATTACTCATTTTGCTGTTAAATTTTTAATATGCTCTTTAGCCACCTTCAGTTTTAATTCCTTAAGACAGATGATGTATATGTACTATTGTCTCAGTAGGTGGCAGTACATGGGTGACCTTTCTTGGGTTTAGAAAAGTAGGATCCTTTAAATGGAAAGCCATAACATTACAGAATAATATAATATCACTCCATTTTCATATTAATACCTTAAAACTGCATGGCTAATGACTTATGTAATCATTAGGTGTCTTGCTCAGTCTGAACCTAGATATTATGTACTGTATGTGATTAATTTCATGAATAGCATAATATATCAAAAGTACTATTCTTTCCCTAGATCCATAAAGAAATATCCTGAACTCATCTGTTTTTCTTGATGAGTGATACCATTCCTTCTGATGCAGTTGGTCGAAGAATTCTCTGTAATGGAGAATATGGAACAGTACTTTATGTTGGTAAAGTTCCTCCTACAACAGGTAGAAAAAATATTTTTATATCATGTATTTTGTAAAATAAAAGGGTGACATTATTTACTGTTTATTTGTTCTGTAATATTTATCAGTTGCTTCAAAACTCTAAATAGTCACAAGGAGAAAATGGCATTAATAATCAAATTCCACAAGACATAATATTTATAATCAATTAAAAAAAATCATAATATTCATTAGCAATCACATTAGTAGCCAAAAACTTGTTGAAATAATGTGGTTTTAAGACTCTCCCAGAATGCAGGGAGGTATAAGCCAGGTGAATGTGTGGAGACAGCATGTTCCATAGCGTGGGAGCTACTAATAAAATGATTGCCTTGAATTCCTTTTAGAATTTATTACTTAATCAAATTAATATAGTTCGCCCATCTCACCAAAAGCAACTCTGGGCAGCGCACAACAATCAGATGAAAACAATAAATGTTGAAAATAGATATATAAAAATTCATATTGGTATATAAAAATTCATATTGGTACATATTGTAAAAGCCAAAGATAAAGGCGAAGGGAGGATAAAAATAGCCACTTTAACAATGGAGCCATCTATGCAAGTCTTTTTGCTTGAGAACTTTAGGCCTAATAATATAGGCAGGTCTTGAGGGCTCTTCAGAATATCAAGAAGGATGGAGCTGATCTAATTTTGCGGGGGGACAGTGTTTGATAAGGCAGGCGCCACGGAAGAAAAGACATGACTCTTGGGACCACCAAATATAGCTCCTTAATCAATGAAACCCTCAACATGACTACTGTGCCAGGTCTAATTGGGTACACTTATATAAGTGGGAAGAAGTGATCCCTAGATAGCCGAGTCCCATGCATGAAGGGCTTTAAAGGTTAAAACTAGCACCTTGAATTGGACTGGCATGCAAAGTAGCAACCAATGCAATTCTTGGAGCAGAGGTGTAGCATGCACTATTCTAGGAGTACACATAACTGCCTGCAGTACTATGTTCTGTACCAGCTGAAGCTTCTAGATACTCTTCGAGGGCATCCTCATATGGAACACATTGCAATAGTCCAGTCAGAAGATGATCAGGGCATGAGTGACTGTAAACGGCCTTTCCATCCAGCAACAAGTATAACTGGTGCACAGGACGAAGTTGTGCAAAGACCTTTGTAGTTTCAATTGCCACCTGTTCGTCAAGCAAAAGTTACGACTCTAGAACACTAGTGTCAAACTCAAATGTGTCACGTGACATGTTGTGATGTTTTTTGCCTTTGCGGAGCTGGAATGAGTGTGGCCTGCACGTGATGCATCTGGACCCCAAAATACAAATCATCTTGCCAGGGTTTAGCTAAAGCCTGTTGTTGCCCACCCAGTCGTTCACTGCCTCCAGATGCCAGGATAAGATATTCACAATATTGCATAATTCACCAGGGATGGAGTTATATAATCAGGTTTCATTGGTGACAGATAAGCTCTCCCAGCAGCTTCATGATGTAGATGCACAAAAAGTACCAAAACCTATATGGGGTGTGGCACCCCATATAGTAGAGGTCGAAGGCAGACCTCTCCTTCCCAATCATCACTGACTATACTGCTCCAGAAGGAAAAAAGCTAACTAGCACAGCACTGTGTTACTCACCCACCCACCCCAATCCTCTGAATCAGTGCAGAAGGATATGATTGATGGTATCAAAAGCCACCAAGAAGTCAAGTAGGGCAAGTATTGATGCTTATGACCTCATCCTTCCCATGCCAGGAATCATCTAAAGGTCCGACTGATGCCATTTCTGCCCCGTGCCAGGTCTGGATCCTGATTGAAAAGAATCCAGCTTCCTCCAAGGTCCTCTAAATATGTTGCATGACCGCCTACTACCTTTCCTACCATCTTTACCAAGAAGGGGAGGTGAAATACTGGACAAAAATTGTCCCGTATAGTAGGATTCTGCAATGTCTTTTGGGGGTGGGGGACAACCCACAACTTGTTAAAGAAGTAATGGAACAAAGGAAAATTAACTACTGTCAGAACCCACTCACACAATGCTCCCCAGGATAAGCCAGGAGAGGCCTGGATCTAAAAAACAGGTAGTTCAGCTCATAGTCCTGAGGACTTTATCCATTTCCTCAGGTCCCACCGGTTTGAACTATTCCCAAATAACCAGGCAAGACTCCTCCCTAGGAATCTCCTCTAGACCTATGACAAGGCCAGTATTCTGTTGGGTACAAATTTAAACAACTTTATCTGAAAGATGCTATGCAAATTCCTCTGCCTGCCCCTCCTGAGCTTCTCTAAGCCCCCTTGCCCGGGAGGGTCCATGCCACCCAAAACAGGGCTGCAGGTTTGCAATCTCCAGATGCAATAAGGGCAGAGAAATACTTCATCACTCCTACCACCACAATGTAGGCTCTAACCCATATTCAGTTGAGTTCATCCTTTATTGAGCGCCTGTAATACTCTAGTCATCTCTTGTTTCATCTCTCAACTCATCTGTAAACCACAGGGACTGCTGGGATCCCCACTGAGCAGAGATCACATAAGCATGATCCAACCCAAGGCCTCACCTATTCCCTTATTCTAATTGGCAGCCAAGACTTCAGATGGTCTGTGTAGCAGACCAATAGGGGTAACCTCCAATTGGTTCTGAAACTGTTCTGGATCCATTAGTCACTAAGGCTGGACCAATCTAATGGGTCCAACCTCCCTGTGGTACCTGATTGTGCTAGGGAATCACATAGAAATCAGGGCATGATCCAGTCATGACAAAGGAAAGATCTCCTCCAATTCAGATCACATTGCTACTGCTCCAACAGGAACACCAAATCCAGAGTGTGACCACTGTCCTGAGTGGATGACCTGGGATAAGTCATCACTGTCTTGGAAGCCAAAGCCACCTCACTCCATTCCTATGGAAGGACGATTAAAGTCCTCCTGAAGTATCAATCTGGGGGATTCTACTGCCAACCCAGAAACAGAGTCAACTCAGGTTGGAAAGTTGCTACGCAGCAGAAGATTATACAACAGCAGCATTCCCAGATGATCCCTAGAGCCCAACTTAATGATCAGGACTCCACAAGTGGGAACGAGTGGAACAGTGCCCCTGAAAGCTTTAAGAGATTCCTTGGTGACACCCCTGGAGTCTTGATTGATGTCACACTCGAAACTCAGACAGAGTTCAGGAAGGGAAATTCCCTCTTCTGGACCCAGCTAGGTGTCGGTAATATATGCCGAGTCAGCCCTTTCATCCACAGCCAAATCACAGACAAGTGGGGTTATTATAAACTGACACGGCATTTAGCAGTCACAACCAGAGGTAGGGTAATTGAAAATCCATTGACAGGGCATTGGGCCTGAGATCAAGAAGCTTGAAGTTGGAGCTATTTAACAAAACAATCGCTCCGTGGTTCCTGAGAGTGGCCCCTCAATGTCAACACCAAAGCACTTTGACCCGCCTCCGTCCCAAAACAGTAACTCTATCCCCTTATCCAAGCCCTTTAGATCCCAGATCTTGAAGCCACCTACTGTCATTGCCAAGTATCCTTGGGAGGAAAAGCCAGGTACTTTGAGGCATTTAATTTTACCAGCTCTCAGTGCAGAGTACCCATCAATCACTTCCCCACAACCCCACAGCGCGCGCGCGCGCACACACACACACACACACACACACACTGAAAGACACCTTCCCTTGCTGCTTCCACCTGTCAGCAGGGGCTCACTTCCTCCTTCACCTTTGTCAAATCTTCCTCCGGCTCTCACCTACAGGAAGGAATCAATACACGCATTCACCACCACCAGATCCACCTCTGATTCTTACTCAGAGGTAGGAGAGAAAGGGAGGAGTTACTCAGACAACAGTGGGAAACCCCCAAGTCCACCTCTTAAACTTTTCTCTATTAACTCCCCACCCCACCCCAGTCTTGGGGTCCCTTCAACACCATATTCCATAGAAACAGCTAGGCAGTCTAAAAACCCACCACTGGTCTGCATGATATGCATTTTCCTCCTCTGAGAAATAGCCTGAGCAGTTCTCCAACACAAATATGTCCCTGCAGTAGTGGATGCCTCAGGAATAGTCAGGCCAGTCTGAGAATGTGAGAAATGCCACGGCCTAATTTTAAAAAGTCACCCAGTTCCCAAGCATTGCAAATGTGGTTGGCAGGGAAGGCATGGTTAGCATTTCAAAACATCAAGTACTTCTGGCGTCTCCCAGTTCTTGCACTGAGAAAATCTAGATTGGGCCAGAGAATCTAATCCAGCAGTCTAACCTCCCTGCAGGTGAGTATCACTCCAACCTCCTGCATGCACATACTAAATAGAAACCAAACCTAGCGTAAAATCACAAGGACAGGCGTCCTGAAGTTTCTGCTTCCTCCACCATCTTAACTAGAAGCTGCATAAACTAAATCAGTCTTCTTTTTGACATGTTTGACTGCCAGAGGTTTCCTTTCCAACTTTTTTTCTACTTTGAATTCAGATACATATGTATTAGTGTAAATATTTCTTTTGTTTGCTTACAGGTTGGTATATTTGAATTCATAGCTTAAAAATACAGCAATCACCATAAACTGTTCTTTCAAAATGGCTTACCCTTGTACTCTTCAAAGTAGATGCTAGAATTATGAATCAAGCAGCCTGTAAACACTTTGAAAAAAAGCTTTGAGTCTTCATACCATGTTTTTAATGAAAAGAAAGTCCTCAATGAATCTGGAAATGTATTTCAATTTGATACACACTATAGAAATGCAGTGATACCACGGCAGATAATATAGTAATCTGAAGTAAAATAAATGTTACTGAGAGATATTTTCTGTACAGATTACTCAGAAGGAAGACTCGTTAAAATTTAAAACTGCAATTTAAGACAAGAAGTTGTCTCCTCAACATAAAAAATGGTACACAGCATATTAAAGCTCAAGTCTTCAACCTGAGTTTATTCTAAGTGATTTAAACTTGATGTGTAGTTTTTGAAAAACCTCTAGGAAAATGCCTTAAATATGAAAGCCGACACGGTGATTTTGGGCTAGTTACTCTTTCTCTGTCAACCCTCTTTACCTCACAAGATTGTTATGGGGAAAATAAGAAGAGGAAGGAATATTAGGTATGTTCACTATTTTGAGTTACTTATAAAATAATAAAGGTGGCAATGAATGAATGAACAAATGAATAAATAAATATCAGAATGCTAAAATCACAGAGTTGAAAAGGTTCATTTTAGCCATTCAAGTGTCAAAAGAAATTGGTGTCTTTTTAAAATGAAAATGTTAATTCATCAGCCTTATTTGATAACCTAAACATGCTGAAACTTTGTTGCTTTTTATGTACTATTAGGAAACTCAGTTCTTCTGCTAATTGTTTAGTTGAATTACTAATTCGGGATGGAAGTCATTGATACAGAGCTTAAGACTAACCTTACAGGAACTATCTCTGAAGCAGTTGCTCTAGTGGAATGTTATGTTTCCAAATCAGACTTGTGAATGTTATGATATATGTTTTATACATTTGTAATAGTGTAGCTTCTAAAAAATTAAAAATAGCCCTTCTGTCAATATAAAAGTAATTTCATAAGGAAGAGGCAGACTAGGCAATTTTGAGCACAGAAAAAACAATCAGATTACCTGAGTAGCTATTAAGCCTTAAATAGATTTTATTGCTGAACCATTTTGAAAGTTGCATTTATAAAGCATTGATTTTATATTAGGAATTTGGCTTGGAGTTGAATGGGACAACCATGAAAGAGGAAAACATAATGGTAGCCACGAAGGAATACAGTATTTCAAATGCAGGTGAGTTAATTCTGAAAAGCAATTTCACTTTTCAACAAATACGTAACATATGCAAATTACAAGTGAATCAGGCAATAAGATTAATATTTTTCTTTGACTCTTAATAATATTACCTGACATGCAGTAACTTGAATACATTGTATTTTTGTACCAGTTAGCCTTAGGGATGTAGGTGTTTATTACCTTTACTGAAGGAAATTATCAGCCAACTGCCTGATTTATTTGAATTATTGGGCATCAAAAAATGTATTTAAGTAAAGTATTTGTAATTTGTTTTTGATTGCCCACCCCCCATGCCAAATATTTCAAGTTTAATTTTGCTTTTTTTCTCTTTTGATTTTGGGGCTTTTAGAGCTTTGAAGATTATTTTATAAAATAATGCTGAATATCACCCAAGCACATGCACAGAATACCCAAACACATACTTCTAAGCGGTGGATTAATTATACAAATTTCTCCTAGTCACAAAAATTTATTTGTAATCTCAAATCAATATTTATGAAGTGTTCCTGGTTATTCGTATACATGTGTAGAACAGCAAAAAAATTGAGTTGCTATTCTGTGCATGTCTTCTTTTACATTGGTAATCTTGCTGGTTAAAATGACCTCTGAGCCTAATGTTCTGAAATGCGAGGAGACTATAGTGAGCCTTAAGAGAAAATATGCATGCTAAATAGGCTTTCTTCAAGTATGACTTACATTGTTATTGGCCGTGAGTTCAGTATTAATGATTTAGCAATACAATATATCCAGAAAAGGAGGAGCAAATTTGCCAATCTGTATATGAAACCACAGTAAAGTAAGGCAATGAAACTGTCAAATTAATTTCTGTAGTGTGAGGAAAGGATGGAAAGATAGCTAAATTTGTAGATTCATGAGATGATGATCTATTAAAAAAAAACAACCAGGGTACTCTGGCCCAGATTGGAGAATGCAAATATGGCAGCTAAAATAGAATTTTAAAAACATTTATATTTCTCCCAACTCTTTCAAGACTATATCAGAAACAAATCAGCCCTGATTTGGTCTATATCTGGAACATCAGCTAAAATACATACATTTTTTATTCAGGAACAGATCGTCTAGAATCATCTGTTACTTGAACAAGATGTTTTAAAACTGCTTTTAAACAACTGTTGTCATTTTCCTTCCAGGCATCCTACAGGTGGATCCTTTATCCGCCTAAACAAGGCAAATTTTGGGGTAGATTTCCTTTCCGCCGTTAAGGAGAAGTATGGATTGAATGAAAATGAGCACGATCCAGAGAGTGAAGAAGGACTGTCATTAGTAATTGGAACGAAAACTGTAGAAACAGTTGGATTTGATTCCATTAAGGAAAAACAAAAGCAAGTACAGTTCCTCTGAAAATGAGCAGCATCAGAATGTTGAATGCATTTCTATACTATTGGAATGTCCTATTGCCCAATTATTGATGCTACTAATGCATTCATATTATTTATACCACATTCCCTATTACAATTCTTGCGCTTGTGCAACTTTTCTACAATTTTACTGTCTTATTTCTTAAATTTATCCTGCACCTGTTTATTTGTTATATGCATTATAGCAAGTTCTCTCTCAGAAATATACTTCGTTATAGTAGTGCTGTGTGTTACATAAAAGACTCATCTGAGAAGGGCTCCTGTTGCTCCTGCTTATTTGGAAGCATGCAGGATTTCAGCAGGCCTTTGATTAGAAAAAATTCAGTAATTGATCTTGAAATATTAATATCTTTATCTTAATTAAAGTAAGGCAATGAAGTTTGGAGGGAAAGCATATAACTCTTTTTCCTTGGGTTTCATTTTCTTTTTGCCTAAATATTTTGCCATGCTTTGCATCAACTTGCCTGGCTTTCTTTTCTGTCTTGCCAAAAAAACACACACCCTGATACTTCATTCTTGTTAAGGACAAAAAAGGACAACACTCTTCTAATGAGACACTTTTTTATAGGCAATTAAATATCTTAAGCGACATTTCAGTTGATGTGTGTGCCGTGAGTCTTGCCGGTCAAGAAGAAGAAATCAGAAAATCATGCCCTAGTATCCTTTCTATAACTGCTTATACAGTATGTGATCTGAAGCATAGTATTGATTTCGAGAATTAGATGAGATTGTAAGTACAGGAAACTTCCTTGGACAAAATTATTAGTAGTCTAAAATTAAAGCCTTTTGAAAACTCTGAAATACAGTAGCATTTTCCATGACCCTAGTCCACTGGGCCCTTCAAAACTACTGAAGAGAATTGGGGCAAATTCTGAAGATAATATAGAGGAAAAGTCTATTCTAGTAGCAGTACCCTAAGCAACATATGGAAATTATGTTCCATTAGTGAGAAAACAGATGAGGATGTTTTGGGAAAATACATCACAAATAAATTGTAAAAGTCATGATTTTTTTTAAAAAAAACATTTAAAATAAAATACATTTCTGGGGATGTGGAATAAAATCAAACTATATGATGTATCAAGAAAATAATAAGATGTTAAATATTTAATAAAAAAAGATTACACAAATGGAACCCTATATAAAAATAAATGGAAAATAATGATTTTGTTTTTAATTGGAATAAAAATATTAAAAATAATGCTGATTTTCATGGCTGAAATTAAAAAAATGACAAAACCATAATATCAAAAAATACAAGTTCTCTGTGGGAAGGTTAGATTTGATGTCTAATCTAAATTCTCTTGAGTTCATGGATATATCCTGGAGTCCTTTATACAATTCCTCTGACCAAAAATGGATAGTGAAGTTTCCTTGCCATTTTGTACATAAGCTGTGCATTAGGGTTTAGATTGTCTTTCCCCCCCTGTTTTAAATCAATCTCTTCTCAGGAAAAAATGGGAAGGATATTAGGCATGTCTGGTGTTGCCATGTGCATGAAATGGCCCAACCTGTAGCTCTGCTTGCCATGACACCTGTCCTCATATGGTCCCTGATCAAAAAGGTGTTGTCTTCTCCCTACTTAAGCTTCAGTATTTCTTGAGTCAAGGAGTTCTTAGGCTAGCATAGTGCAAGCATATTTCTTAAACCCTGATCTTGCGAAAAAATTTCTTAAATATATTTGCTCAGATATTCGGCAGATAAACTTATCAAGAAATCTTTTGTCATCTTGGAAAGAAGTGTTAGCCATTGCCTGCCAAGTTGAAAATTTAGAAACACTTAATCTCAGGTATTCACAGATACTTTCATAATGTGTAGATGGGCTTAGATTTATATTTTTAGGAAAAAAATTCTTGGACCAAATGAGCAAGACCATTTTTGCTGATTCCTCCTTTTCCACTGAGCCCAAAGAAAAGCTGCTCCAGCTTTTCCCTTGATTAGAGTCTCCTTGAACAGTACAAGATTCTAAAGGGAATCATGGAAAAATCACGTTTTCCTCTTCCATTCTTCCAATGATAGTCTACTAGATTTCTGCCCTTCTGGAAAATGAAAGAGCCTTTTCATGTGTGAAAAGGAACTCTAAAGCCAATCCTTTGTCTGTATCAAATATTGTCAAATCATTTGAAATGTTTATATTAATGATACCAATACTCATGTCACACTGTGGTCCCTGCTAGTTTTTAGCAGCCTCCTCAAATTATTATTTTTTGTCTTTAATTCCCTTAAGTGTCATCCTTACATGGTAAAGGATGAACTCCTTTTCTGAATATATGTGTACCACCAGTATGGGGCTTTTTCTTCATTTTAGAAACAAGGTTTCTGCCTATAATTTGATTCTGGATTTAGGATCTTACGCCTTAAATTAATACCATAGATTTGATATGACTTGAAAGTTACACTACATCTCTGAAATCTCAGTGTCTAATTCTGCAGTTGTTTTTGATATGAAATATGGGAAACCAATGTAAGCAAAAATGATAAATTAACAGAAATGTAAAAGAATACCTAATATAACTTTGTCTTAAATTGCAGTAGAAAGATTGATGTGCTATATTTGTTCCATTTTCTAATGTGCTATTTTTTCCTCAATTTTGGATAGTGAAAACAAAATGACATTTCCGTCTGTCCTACCACCTGCTTCACAAACATTTTGTAAACTCAGGGTTTTGGCACTTAATCAGACTGGAGTGACATGGACTGAGGTAATACAATTTAGATCTTTGAAAGTTTATGGTTAGTTCTTAATTATATCATTTGTAATTCTAATAAAACACTCATATAAGCCAACATCCTTATAAAATACAGAATCTTTGCAAAAGTTTGTACATGAATTTTTCTTAGTAAAAGAACTGGTAAGGAATCTGGCTACCATCACAGTTTATTCTTCCTATAGTTCCTGTAGGACATTACTTATGAAAACTGAGGGAAAAGTATATCCATATTTTGCCTCATCAATTGTGTTATCAATTGTGTTGATGCTACGTAAACTTAGCTTAAATTGCATCCTGGAAAAATCAAAAGAACAGTAGATTTTCCAATAAAATGACATAATTCAACTAGTTTTGCATGCCATGATAACAGATGTTCTTCCCATTATGCAGATATTCACATGAAATTTTTACAGTTGTTGAAATGTTTCCCAGCTTTTCTGAGTTAGACATACAGCTTTTTAAAAATATGATTATTTATTTAATATCTCTAGGTGCCCATTTCAAGCCAGTGACTGACCAGTGACATCTGGCTTCAAAGATTTCCATCTTGTTCATGAAGTGCCCAATGGTTTCCTATTCAATTTCTCTCCCTTCCAGCTCTCAGAGCTTCCATTTCAAAGTATGGGGAATACCATGAAATGTAGTTTTCTCGGTCTTCACTGTTCTCTCACTTTTTCCGTTATGACATGAATGTGTTTGATTCCAAGTTCTCTGCGTTTATCTCTAGTAAGATGGCTCTCATCATTGTTGAACTCAACATCCCTTCCAAGAAAGAAACTGTTTTTTTTAGTGAAATAATGCATTTTAAGGTAGCTCTGAGTATTGTTGAAATAAGTTTATAAAGTTGGTATTACTTGATTTTGCCTACAAAGGCAAGTGAAATTTGTTGTTGGACTAAATGGTGTTTTCCCATTAGGTTCTTTTATGTGCTACAGGGTGGCCTGCTCTTGAAGAACTTTATCTTGCCTCCAATAGCATTTCACTTTTAAAAAGGTATGAGAATAATTATTCATACAGCCATTCTTCTGTAGATATAATTCAAGTAGTCCCCACTTACCAGCTAAATTGGGACTGACAACTCCATTGTTAAGTGATGCAGTTATAAAGTGAAAGATCACATGAATGGGCCAACTTACAACATCAGTTTGTCAGTTCCAGCTGCAATCATTAAATGAATCACAGTCATCAAGCATGATATCTATCACATGACTGCAGCTTGCAACTTTCTACCTGTTTCCAGGTTGGTGTTGCTTGTCAAAGGCTAGCTGCGATGATCACAAATGGCAATCATTTGACTATAGGTCACTGCAACTCATTGATGTGTTTTGATTGGCAAGTGCCCAAATTGCAATCATGTGAACCACAGAGATACTGTGATGCCCATAACCCCAAGGACCCATCATAAATCTCCTTCATCGTCATAATTTCAAAAAATTGCTGAACAAGTAGTTAGTAAGCAAGGACTCTATATTGCATATTTTCATCATGGCCTAAAATTTCTAATTATGAACCATACTGTTTGGTGTGACTGTAAGCATTAGACTCCTTTTATGTGTATAGATATAATTCTAGGTGCGTGTGTGTGGATGGATGGAATGGATGGATAGATCGATCGATCTTGGTTTCATATATAAAACATCTTGCAGTAAGAGAATATTTGCTCTGTTTAAAACCTTATTACAAACATGTCAACTATCCATTAATTAATATGTAAATTAAGGGTGGTTTGCTGACATTCAAGATTCAATATCATTTCATTGTGATATCCCCACCTTCTGTCCTAATTTGAGAAAAGCCACAAACCAAGATCAGAAGCAGGAAATTGCTTTTGAGTAGAATAGAGGAAGTAAATGGTGACAAAAGGAATGTGTAGTTCAGAGTAGGTCCACTGCTTTATCTGTCCACCTTGCTGTTAAACTGTGGGTTGTATGATAAAAGCTCTTCCAGGTATAGTAGAGTCTGTAAAAACTATTGTATATATAGAATCAAGTACCTTTAAGTTCTTGAATTATCTTCAACTACATCAGTGGGGTTTTATTAGTAGAAACAGTAAAAAAATGTATAACACTTTCCGTTTTGTTTTCCTTTAAGGTTTAGTATTTTTCACTTGTAATTACTGTTTGGTTTTATATTTGATGTTTTTCTGGTGCTCTGTTTATATTAGTAAAGAAGAAAAGAATTGTTAAGATAACAAATTTATGGATGAAAAGCATTTATTTAAATGAAAATTATATTCCACTTCTTTAGAGTGTATACATTATTTAGAGTAGTCAACCAGAATGCATTTTCAAAATTGCATGAAACAATTACAGAGAAGGGATAAATAAAACAAGCAAACAGGCACACTATCTAAAAACCATTATTTCAGATTAAATTTACAATTTCTGAGATACAGCAACCAGCAGGCCTTATTTTTTCTCTCAAATAAGCTTCCACTATTGGATACCAAAAAGGTCATCTCATCAGAAGTTAGGCCAAAACAAAGCTGGTATGGCAATTAAAAATTCTTCCAGTAAAAGTTCCAGTAGGTTATTTAAGCAGGAAATACATATTTTGGCATTGAATTTTTGTGGTTCAGAAGAATTAATAGCTCAGAAAGAAACCAGTGTCAAGTCTGTGTATGCTGGTACAAATACCTGGAACTATAGTATTGTCAGAATAGAAAGCATTGAATTAGAACAGATGATTTTTGTGATAATGTACACTTTGCTAGCATTTTAGGATCAAGTATATATGGTTTAATGGAAATAATCTTGGATGTATTATGATCTGTGATAATTAAGCTCTAGTGTAGAATAATAAGAAAACAATACAAAGTTCGGGAGATGCGAAATTATTGCTATTAAATCTCAGTCACTCTGGACAGCTCTCAGACAAAGAAATTATGATAAAATTAATAAAAGAGAAAGATAAAAGATGGCAAGAGTTCTCAGTCTCCCTCAGCAAAGCCAAGTTTTCCCAGCTCTTCTAAACAATTAAAATTAAAAGTAGTCAAGGCAGAAAATGATTTCTATATGATATAGGGTAAACAGCAAACAGGTATAATAAGAATGGAATTATATTTTCTATTTTTATTATAAAGTTATAATATTACAAAATTTTAAATAAAGAGTTTTCCTTGCAGACCTATTGATGTCCTCCAGAATCTGAAATGGCTAGATCTTTCTAATAATCAGTTAACGGATGAAAATCAACTTCATCTCATTGCGGATCTTCCCAGGTAACTGTTGTACAGCACTACGGTTAATCTCAGTGTCAGTGTAACTTTGTTGGTTTTATTCAGAAAAATATATTTTTCTTCAGAGTACAATATGATCCTATTGTTTTCCTAATCTTTTAGTCATGATCCATTACATACTGTACCTCTGTATTGAATCAAGCCTGTATAATGGTGAAACTGGTATTTTAGTTTTCTGCCAAACTATTTTCATTAGAGCTCCAAAAATTGTTACATGACTATTTATTTAGGAATCCTTAAATACAGTGCCTGCAGACTATGATGACATACTTGCCTTAAATCTATTTTCTGCTTCCATTTTTTCAAATATTTTTTCAATTTTTTTCCATTCTGTTTTACTTGATTTATTTTTCATTTCATTATACCCTTAAAATAAAGGATCTTAGTTAACAACCTGTCTCTTGCATTCTGATTTGACTTAACATAACAAAACACTAATTTCAGATTTACAACAATTTATCGGATATGAAATCCAAATTATTAGCTTGTATTTTACTGGTTTGTCTTCTAAATTTCAGGTTAGAAAGATTAATACTTTCAAACAATGGAATTCATTCTATACACTTTCCTGATGCAGCATTTGGTATGTAAATTAAATGCTGTTATATATGCCTGTAATTTAATTTTTCACTATTGTTTCACCAATTTATCCTTCTCTTTTACAGGTTACAAGACTAGAATGTTTCCTTCATTAACTCATCTTATATTAAAAGACAACAGAATAGCAAAAGTAAGATGCCTGTGTCATGAATTGGGTTCTGAATTCTTTTCACTTACTATAGTTTTATCTTTTAAAAAGTCAATCATTTGTAAAAATGTAAAAATGCACAGTAAAGGTAGCATAATTTCTTGCCAGACTATTTGAGTTTTATATTTGTCTGGCAATTAGTATACAAAGATATAACCATTGCTATATCCACCATGTAACCTGCTATTATTCCCTAAGTCAACTGAAGTGAATGGGAAATTACTGATCAATATAAGCTTTGCCAGACTGAAATTGTAATAGATTGCAGCTTTAAATATAATCAAAATATTTAACCATTTTGTTTTTTTATTTGTGTCATGAAGTTAATATTTTCATCTATAATGTTATCATAATGCCTAAGTATTATGTTATTTTAATAAATGGATAAGATTGAAATCTCTAAATCATCACACTAAGGAAGTTTTGTATAATTTTATATAAGCAGTAGCAAAAGATCTTTTGGATTCAGACTCGTTGGTTCAAAATTGCCATGTTTTCTTATTCTGTATGTTTCAGTGGTCTGTTATCAATGAACTTGACAAGCTACAAAAACTTGAATCATTTGATTGTCGGAATAATCCTTTGATGGATTCAGAGAAAAATATAGAGACTTTGAAACAACATATTATTGCCAAAATAGGCCGATTAAAGTTTTTGAACAAATCACAGGTATATTTTTGTGTTCCATTAGCAATATTAAGAAAGCAATAAGTAATGCTTTTTGAAAGCTGACAACTAGTCATAGATTCTAAAACTTGGTTGGTCATAAGAATACTCAGCAATAATAAATGAATGCGTGACTTTCCCTTCCTCAATTAAAACTATTGGATTCCTTCTGACAAGGTGTTTTCCTGTCAGATAGAATAGGGTGCGATCTGACAATGATCGCACTATATTTGCAGAACCTGCCTGGCACACCAAAGGTGAATTGTTGCCAGAACTCATTTCCAAGGCCAGGGCTCTCCTTTAGCAGTGGCAACATGAATGCTGCTCAAGGTGATCTAACTGCTCAGGATCCTTCAGCCTGTATGGGTCACTCTATGGCCGTTAGGATTAGGATCGGGCTCCTGCAGATATCATTGCTGTAGGAACACAAGGGCCCCTAGAGGAAAGTCTTGATACTTGGATCTTGGAGAGGACATAGTAGGAGAGATTGCCATCTTCTCACATTTGCTTACAACTGTTTAAGAGGTTCTGACCGACAGTTTAAGAAACCTTCCTTTAAGGAATAATGATGATAAATATTAAATACTATATACATGTAAATATATACATGATACTAGAAATAGCTATATGTCAATCTATGCCTCCTGTGTGCGTAAGGTTTGTCATTGGTTGCTTCCCTGCACATGTTATAGGCTTCATTAATGCTCTTGCTAGATCTTATATCTTAGGCGGATTTTAACTGCGTTATTGTAATATTGGTACTGATGAGTCATTATGAAATGCTTGCATCTACCACTGTTCTTTTAATTTTGTTGTTTAAATTATTAAAAAGGGACTCATTGTTTTAAGGATACCATATACATGGATTTGGCTGTTCTGATATTATATAATACACTCTTGTTTTGCCCCAGATCTTTCCCGAAGAAAGGAGGGGAGCAGAACTTGACTATAGAAAAAAATATGGAATTCATTGGTTAAAGGCTGGTGGTAATCAAGATCCAAATAAAAATAAACCAAGTGAGGAATTCCTTGCTGCTCATCCAAGATTTCAACTACTCTGTGACCGTAAGCTGCCTGCCTGCCTTAATTCTATTTCTTTGACAGATGAATAGGAAGAAGGAAATTTTGCATGCTTGCTACGTTGGTGCATAGCCTGAGTGAATTTCTTCACTGTAGTTCTCACTGGTCTTATTATTGTCTTTCTCTAGCTTAAAAATTCTTGCATTAGCCAAACTGTTCCATCCAAGCTACTTGCTGTCTTAATTTTCTTAGTTTGAACATCAGCCACTACAATGTGTTGTGGAAAGCTCTAGTGAATATTAACTCTTGTGTGGCTGTCATTCCCATATTTAGTTACTTCATTTGAGACCCCTGGATTGCCGATCTTCTAGATATCTGCTCTAAAATTCAGTTCCAAAGGCAGCCATAGCTTTTTAAGTTTACATTCTCATTCTGTGAGGAAGGACAGGCAGAGAGTTCTCCTAAATCTTAACACTTCCGACAGTAATAGTATTTTGCCAATATGTAAATGTATCCAGAAATAAGTGTTTGTTTCAGTTTAAAAATACAAATTGTATCTGATGGAAGAGACCATGATAATTAAAAAGCTTTAGAGAAGGATAAGAAGAATTGAATAGATGATATGTATTTCCTCTTCATAAAGGACTGCAGATACCAATCCCTAAACATAAAGGATGGTAATAGGCACTCATCAGGTTTGATTTTTTGCACTCTTGTCAGAAGTACCAAGATGCTTCCATGTTGAAAGGATTAACGGTGACATAATTGTAGACCAGGGGATGCTCAGTTAGGGACTCTTTTCATGTCCCTGGCAGGAGCTGGAGCAAAGGAGGAGAACTCATCCCGTCCCACAGTAGCATTCGGGTCTTGAACATGGGCTTGCTAACCTCCAACCCAGCATCCTAACCACAAGAGCCATCATGCTGCTATCAGAATTAATAACAGAAATGTTGTTACTGGCAGTTTGAACATTTTTTAAAAAAAGATAATTGATCCAGATGGCATCTATTTTCTACAAATTTTAAACAAACTAAATGTTCTTAAAAAACAGTGTCTATGAGAAGATTTACATGCAGTCAACGTACTATTAAGTTTCAAGAAGGGATTTGGAACTGCTGGTTAGTTTTAATTAACAATGTACAAAATGTTCCATGCCTGAATCTTTCCATACACTGAGCAGCTGGTCTTGAATAGCTGATGCCCAGTCTAAACATGTAGACAAAAGTGTTTCAGGGGAATGAAACTGGGCAAAAGCCAAGAATGAGAGTTATCCATGGTGACAACATTGCAAGCAAGCACTCATGGCAGTGGAGAGAAAGACGAGAAGGTACTGATGAGACTACAAAGCTGGATAACCCAGTGGATATACTGTTCTGGAACGTCGATACTGGCTGAGAAAAGAAGTTAAGGCCATGTGGAGGAAGAGAGTAGATGAGCACTAGCCTTCATCAACTTACTCCTCCATCCTTCCAGATCTACCGTATTTTTTGCTATATAAGACACACTTTCTCCCCCCCCCCCCCAAAAAAAAGTAGGTGGAAATGTCTGTGCGTCTTATACAGTGAACGTTGCCAAAGCCTTGCCCACCTGCCAGCCCCTACCCTTCGGCCTCTGCCTCCTTGCAGCAAACTGCAAACAGCCTGGTCAGCTTCAACTTAGCCTGATTGGCACAAGCAGCTGGTTGTTGGTTGGATTGGCCTTCCAACAATCAGCTGTTTCAGGGTGCAGGGATTGCTATTGCCTCCGCGTGTCTCATTTTTGGCCACCGTGCACCCCGTTTTCAGCCTCCGTGTATCCCATTTTCTGCCCGTTCCCAGCAGCAGGAATCGGAACAGGTGGAAAACGGAGCATGCAGAGGCCAAAAACGGCGTGGAGGCCAAAAATGGGATGCAGAAGCCAAACATGGGGCGTGCGGAGGCAGCAATAATGTCAAGCCTGAAATTGACATGTGTACCCATTTTAGTTAGGCTTAATATATATTCTTTTCCTTACTTTCTCTGTGGCAGTCAAGAGGGAAAGGTTTCGGGCTCGCCACATTCCTAAGGGGGGAGGAGTGGAGATAAAGAGAGAGTTTTGGCTAGGTGATCTTTCTTCCCGTGAGAAACAAGCTGTCGTTGCTTGGGCCCCTTGAGGTGGAGATTTATGACATCAAGCAACATTGAATTACTTCTATTGGAGAATGTGACTTTTGGGAGTTGTTTCTAACTTGTAATATTGTGGGGTAATTCCGGGTTGTATCAGATCCAGAATTACCATGAACTTTGCCAATTTGATGCTTTCCTAAATAAAAGAAATTTCTTTTGAAGATAGACTTTGTTCTTTCTTTTTAAATGGATTTCATCACTTGGAAACCTGACAAATAGGCGATGGCGATCCCTGCAGCCTGAACAAGATGATCATTGGGAGGCCAATCCAACCAACAATCAGCTGCTTGTACTAATCAGGCTGTGCTGAAGCTGACCAGGCTGTTTGCTGTTTGCTGCAAGGAGGCAAATTGCTGGGAGGCAGAGGCAGAATTTTTTTTCTTGTTTTCCTTCCCAAAAGCTAGGTGCATACTTATACTTATACTTCCACAATTCTTCTGCCACCACCCATCCTATCAGAACCTATCCTTCCATCCCCTCCACCATCAGAATTGATGAAGCTTTGGACTTCCAGTGACGTTTCCGTCGTGGGCGGATCAAAGTCCACAATTGTCTGCGGTTTCAATCCGTGCTCTCCCGTTGGAGGGCTCTGAATAGGGCCAGAACCACCTTGAAGGGATGGTGAAGAAGGGGAGGCCACCTCTCGGGTCGAGGGGAGCCTCATCTCCCCTCCCTGGCTAGGTATACTCCCTCCGAAGACAGGCTGTAGCGGTGGCCAAATATGGCCACCCTGAAGATGGAAGGCTATCTGGGACAAAGATTGTGCAGGAGCGGTGAAGCAGTGGACAGTGTGGAGACTGGGCAAATTAGGTGCAACATATGGATACAAAGGTAACCCGGAATTAAGAATTTTTTAAGAAAGAGTTTAAAAGCGGCAACCAGAGAGAGTGAATAGAAAAATCGGATGCAAATGAAAGTAGATTTGAACTTCAAAATAGAAGGAGGAAGCCAGAAGAAAAATACTTGCTTAAATTGAATAGATAAATGATTTTGACACTAAACAGGCACAATTAAAAGCTGAACTTGAATGTGTCAAAAGAAATAATAGATAATTGGACTTAATTGGACAATTGAAACTTAAAAGTCCTAAATAGAGAAAAGAAAGTGAAAAGAAAGGGTGGATTTGGACATAAGAGAGAGCGCTACCTAATGGTAAAGGAAAAATTTTAGTGGCTCTTTAAAAACTGTTTGGTTCTTTTAAAATTGGATTTAGATACAAAATAAGAGGACTTTGTTATAATATAACAGAAACCCTGAAAAGTGACACTAGAATATCATAAAGGAAGAAGAAAGAAGGCTGAAACCTGGGATTAATTTGTGACTTTTGGAAAAAATAAGAATTTAACAGAAGGAATTTAAAAATAAAACTATGGACATTGGATTATTTGGTGATCTTGGAAACAATTTAAAAAGGAATTAATAGAAATTGATTGCTAGAAGCTGGCTGAAATAAACTACTGGTTAATTGGATTTGACTTAAATACTGAAAAAAAGAGATAAATAAAAATTAAAAGAGCTGCACAAAAAAGACAGAACTTTGCGTGCAATAAAATTGGATTCAAGAAGTATAAAGGAAATGATATACGACAGTATTGCTTCAAAAGAACTAAAAATGGCAATGTTGGAGAACAAAGAAGGACAGAAAGACCCAGAAGGGGAGGAGCTGATCAAAGAAGAAGCCAGCCTTAACGATCAAATGAAATAACGAACAATAAAACAAGGAGAAAAAAAGATTGAAAATTAAAATCTGGAGGTTTGGGGGAATGATTAAAGAGCGGATGGTTTGGAAAGTCAAACAAAGAGAAAGGAAACAGTAGAAAAGGAAACTACAGAAGAAAGCTCAAGAGAGGGAGGCGTTAAAAACTGGAGTAAGAAATGGAGGGAAAAAATAAAGGAAAAGGAGAACAAGAGAAAGGACCAGAAAAGAAGGGGATATAGAAAGTGGATAAAAATGAAAAGAAACTATACGGTTAGGAGACTTAGAGATAATGGACAAATAAGGAATAGAGAAGGGGATTCTGCAAGGTAATGGTAGTGGTGTATAAAAATACAGATTTGTAAAATGAAAAGACTGACTTTTTTTTAATTTGACTATTTTTTAAGGATTATTATTAAACTAAATTATATAGAGATATAAATGAAATAAATGTGAAAATGGGAAGTTATGAGAAAATTGTTATAGTTAATAGAATTAAGAATATAGTTAAATGTTATGAGTGATGTACAAGAAAAAAGGGTGGTACACTCAAATTGGTATTAAAGGGGGAAATCTTTAGAATTGTTAAAACTAAGATGAAACTTATTGAATAATGAAATAAGAGTATGCGATGAAATTGCAAATGTAACAGATAAAAGTATAAAAGTTAATGAATATAGAATAAGAAATAAGAATTTTAGATATTGTATAAAGAAAACATGAGAAAATTTAAAGAAAAATGAAATAAGCTAAGATATGAATTGAATATTAGAGAAAAATTACAGAAAATGGGAAATGTAATAATATATATGAAATTGAATATGAAAGAATATGTAACTAAGGTCATGTTTGTATGAAAATGTAAAAACCTGGAACCACATTTTTCATCACGAGATGTTTTTTAAATTGGAAAAATTAAAATCTTATGCAAAAAAAAAAAAAAAGAATCAATGAAACTTTTTGGATGAGAAGTGAAGCATTTTCTTCCTCAAAGAAAAAACAGTCCAGTTGTCTTTTGAAGAAAAGAAAAGCACCTTTGGGACAACGATGAACTGGATAACAATCCAGACAATCATCAGTACTAGCTTTTGTTTCTGCCACTCCAAGACCAACCTAAAATGGTTCAAGAGGGCTTTTTGAAGACTATGTTCGATTCTGGTTTGAAACAAAGCCTTTCTCATTTTGCATACTGTATAACTTTAGTCTTAATATCTATCCTGGGTGAACTGGAAAAAAGTGTTAAAATTACTAACCATCTAGACCAGGGCTGTCAAACTCGCAGCCTGCAGGCTGGTTTAACGAACGGGGTAAAAAGTCATGATATTACGTGACGCCACCGTGACAACTCGAGTTTGACACCCCTGATCTAGAAGGACATGTCTTCTGATTTAGAATCAGTATGTCTCTCACAAGCAAACCTGGGTGTTATATTGAGAAATGTAGATCATTTAACATCCTTCATTTTCAGAGACATTTGTGCTGGCTGATTTGATTGAGCAAGAAATATGTAGTTGGATTTCCTGAATGTTTCTGACAGTTTTTAAAGCAAGTTCAAAACTAGAAGTAGGTATTTTCTTCTTGTGACTCTTAAGCATTTATGTATATTGTACCTGCTCCAATAGGAAAACTTTGAAAAATTTGACATCCTATAGGAATTTTGCTCTTTATACTATTACATTCTGGCTCAGTATTTGTTTTTGTTATTGTTTTCCCTCTCAACAGTCTATGGTGCCCCAGAAGATGGAGAGCTGGAAAGAGAACAACCTTTTTCTCTAAAGAATCAGTTGTTGAGTAAGATACAAATGTATACTAATTTATCTAAATATATAATACTATGCTGAAAAATCTGCAAACTCTGCTGGTTAAGTTTTCCTACCAGTGCAAATTATAATGTCTACAATGTATTCCCACAGCTATTATTTGTATCTAGTTTGCATTCTGCATGCATACTTGCAATTCCTTCTGAACAAACATGCCTTAATTAGCAGTGATGTGATTGTATAGACCAGTGATTCTTAAACTGTTTGACCCAATTATCCCTTTTCCTGGTCTTGAATGTCATTACTCCCCACAAATAAAAAAAAACTTGTTTTACATAAGTGTTTCAGCAATGGCAGTCCTAAACTAGAGCCTCACCTCAGGAACAAGCAATTTAAAATTGCTTCATTACACCAGGATATGCCCAAATTATCCCTTGAAGGTAATTACCCCCAGTTTCACCCCTGTAATCGACAAAGATTAGTCTTTGAAACTACCCCAATTCTTCTGGAAAATGTAATTGTTTCAGTGCTTGATAAAGAATGCTTTGCCCAGCTCTCATGCATGTTGCAAAGTACCCTCCCTGTTCAGATGTTTTGTACTCTTTGTAAGCTAGGAATGGCGGGGGGAGGGGGGGGTGCATTAATTTTGTAACCTAATCAGTATTTTGACTCCTGCTTTTGGTATAAAGGTAATTCTTGTGTTGCGACCATCATGTATGAGTAACTTTCATTGTGGAATGGCCAATTGCATAAAAATTAAGGCTGAGATTCAGTGATGGGATTCAAATTTTTTTACTACCGGTTCTGTGGGCATGGCTTGGTGGGCGTGGCAGGGGAAGGATACTGTACAATCTCCAGTCAGAGGTGGTATTTGCTGGTTCTCCAAACTATTCAAAATTTCCGCTACCGGTTCTCCAGAACTGGTCAGAACCTGCTGAATGAGCAGGTGAACCTCTGGTGAGATTCCCTAATACCCTAACATTTGTTGTTTCAATTAAATGTGCTAAATGTTATCAGCCAACCAGTGTGTGAATGTTAACTTAATCCAGTTTTTGTAGCCAATAGAGCAGAATTTGAATGGAAATGGATGTGTGCTTTCCCAGTTAGATAGGAGTGGGTGGGTGTGTTTGGTGATAATTGGAATAAATTCATTAAAACCTGTGGGAAATGTTACTCTTGACTAATTTCTACAATTGGCTTCACTAAGTGTACTTTGACTAGATTGAACTCTGTTCTCGAGTGAACTCTTTATGCAGATTTTTCTTTTTTCTTTATTAAGCTTTGACTTTTAAATGCCCTGACAAAGCTGACCAGAAGCCTATAGAGAAGAAACTTCCAGGTAAGGGAAAGTATGTCTGGACCTCATGTTTCCTTCATGTTACAATTATTTTGGTCATTGTGTGAATATTACAGTAAGATAGATAGTAACACTTTTAATGATATTTTCCCTATCTGAAGTAATTGCAAATGTTGCAGCCTTCAAAAGCAATGCAAACCAATATCTGTTCTGAAGCAGAGCAAGAGAAATCAATATATCAAAAATAAGGCTGTTGTAATTTAATCCAAAGTATTCTCATTAGATTCCTTTTCTACATCAATAAGGATGGTTTCTTTGTACACAATATAGATTCTTAGTATAATACAGTATAATAGAAAATTAACCTGCTCCGGTTGTGGTTTTTTTCCTTAGCAGTGGAAAGGTGCATTTTGTTTAGAAATGTAAAGCTTATTTCAGTAAAACACTTAGTAAAAAATGTACATTCTTTGCTTCACTCATGATAATGGAGTATTATAACTTAAAAGACGAGATATCCATAAACCCTTTGATGTTTGTATTTTGAAAAGTATTTATTCAAAATAAAAATCACATTTATCACAAGTTGCATAAAATGATACAGCTTTTTCAAAAAGTTAATAGAAAAATACTTTAAAGTACATTTTTGACAATAGAGGACTATTGCTGTGCCTTCAGATAAAGCTTTAAATGAAATAAGGGGAAAATTACCCAGCATAGCCAAATCTCTAGATGGGTCAAATTTGTAATACTTTTACTCCTTTAAATCTTACTATAAAAATACACTTTCACTTTCATATCATTAATTTGAAATACAAGTGCATAAGGTTAATGGTAATCTGGACAAATTAGCACATAAAGATTTGGGGGCCTCGTACTGTGAAGTAGAGGAAAAGGCTTCACTCAGTGTTAAAGTACAAAAGAGCTAATGCCATAAATAGTATTTTGAAGGTCACTTAGGTCAGTCAGTGTGTTGTAGATATAAAGTAGAGACTATAATTTGGTAAACTTCTGCTTAGGAGGAGTACAGTTTTAATGTCAAATTATTCTAATTGGTTCCTGTGAACTGCAGGAGCTCAACTCCCACAAATCTATTTCAGTATCAACTTTTGCTAGAATTTCAGTTGCTGTGGCGTCAAGTATTATCTATCTATAGTTAAACAATTCTCTCTTTAATGTAGATTCTATGACTATCCAGAAGGTCAAAGGATTGCTGTATCGTCTACTTAAAATTCCAGGCTCAGAACTGAAACTATCATATGAAAGTTCTAAAGTAAGCTCAAATTCAGTAATGCAACAATACATGAATTGAGATGTTCCAGAATAATACAACTTGTTACCCTGGTAAAATCAATACATTGCACTCTATAATGTTGGATGATTGATTTCTTTATAAGAAAAGCAGTACTATTGTTTTGAAATCCATTAGCTTCCTTTCCTTTATATTCCATCTTAGTCTTTTAAGATATACAAGATTAAAATGTGCAAAACTAATATCTAACTGAATCTTTTTTTTAATCCTAGATGAAAGGCAAAGAATTTGAATTGGACAATGACCTAAAGCCCTTGCAATTCTACTCTATTGAAAATGAAGATTGCATTCTAGTACGATGGTAAAAGCTGCCTTCGATACATTTTAAGATAACTTGCACACTGCTAACAAAGTTTAGGATGATTTTTAATAGTATTGTTGGGGAAAGCTTTTATAAAAATGTATCACTGTTTGGTAGAGAAGCTTTTGTATTCTTGTTTTCTTAAGAAAAGAAAAGAAAAAAATATCATGCCTGTAAGAGAAAATGAAAGCTTTTGCCAGCTTCAAATAAAAAGTAATTCATTTGTGCTACACTAGTAACTTACAGAAATCAGTGGGACTCTCAACAAACCTTCCACTCACTACTATACAAATAACATATTTGAGAGAATTAAAAGCTGAGGTATTTCATTACCAACCCATCCCAATAGCCACAGAATACTAGAAAGCATAAAAATCACTCAACGGGGGGAAACCTAGTATTTAATATGCACATAGGAGAAAAGGCTGCTGTCTTACTCCCTCTACATGTTGGCTGAAAGTACACAGAGGATAAATAGAATTACTACAGCATCTAACTTCCTTCTTTACAGGAGTTAACATGATAATATATCAGTATTCCCAGCAAGAGGCACTGTTTCCCTCATATTTGAAATACAGACTGAAATTAAATCAATCTGATCCCTAATTCATTAGAAGCCAACAGTATATATGCAGTCTGCCTCAGTTAAGTGTCTTGTCTAGCAAGGCATATGGGCAGAGAAGTGCAAGTTTAATATGCAATATGTACAGTATTGTATCTGCCTTTCTCAGTTTAGCCTCTGTCCCTTGTTCTTGTATACACTAAATGCATGAAAAGTCAAGTTTATCTACTTCTGTAATATATTAATAAAAGAATTCCCATTCATATTTGGCTTCGTAAAAGAGTATGTTCAAAAATGAAATGTGTCCATTTATTAAAAAAGGGGATGTGTGTGCAAATACAGCCCTAAGGGCCATTTCACACTAGACAAATTATCTACATGAAACACTTCTTTAAAGAATGTGTGAGGCTTGTCTGTAGTTTACTGCCATACTGAAATGAACATACACTGTATGTAACCAGTGGAGTAGAAGCATAAATTGGCTAGCGACATATTCTTACATTTGTCACCAGCAACAGACTATATAGGAGATTGATGGAACATCTGTTTCGAGGCTTTCCCTTCCTTTCCTCTATAACATTTTCCTTAGAGTGTTTGCCACCCCTTCATTTTTCTTCACATTTGCAGGGGTCTCCACAGCGTTCCTTTATTCTCCAAAGCTCTGCAAGCTCCTGAGCAGAATACTGAGGAGAGGACAGCATACCACTCTCACAAGTCTTCTCACACAACCAGAGATCGTCCTATTTTAAAAGAAAGCAATATACTGTTAATACTGCTACACTATTACAGGCATAGCTTCAAAAGCAGTTTTAGGGGACTTGGTTTAGATATATGTACCCTTGGGATGTAATTTATAGAGATTAAGAAAATAACAGGTAGGCAGAAATCCAAATGTATATATGTTGCTCTTTCCTAGTTCAGGCAAGTACTGACAAGTTAATCAAACAATTCGAAGAAAGGAAACAAAGGCACAGGCAATATTTTATTTAAAATTGATTTGTGCGCTATCCTTCCATAAACTATGTTAAAAAACCATATGCATTCCTTATGATGTGGGTATTATGTTAAAGAATAAATCTAATTTTATTAGATTATATGATGTTACCTGAATAAATATAAAGTTATTGAGATATAAGTCCTAATTTAGGTAGTATACATAAATTTTATGTATGTACTGTATGTGTTACCATTCAAGAGCTTCAGGCAATGTAGTTTGCTTAGGCTGAAAGAAACTGATTGGCCTAAAGCCACCTAGGGAGCTTCAAAGTTGAAATAGCTGAATATCATAGAGTAGAAGGTCTACCTAATCAATATACATCTTTAAATCCCTTTCTGAAACAAAGATATATTGCATCCCCAGCTTTATTGGCAAATTAAAATTTAATTTATTTAATAAATCAAATAATCTGGAACATGCTTTTTCTCGACAAATTAACAATCATAACTGCTAATCACTGCACTGTTTTCAATTAATGTCATGTTATCTCTGCAATCTTTTGATGCATAAATTTATACTGTTCCTTAATTGGAGATAACATCTGTAAATTACTTTATCCATTCTCCAAGATCTTTCAAAGATAATACTTAAAGGTTTTGCCATACATCAACCAGTCTCTTCTAGGAATATATATTCTTGTTGGAAAAGACCAGGTCAAATAACAAATGCTAATATAAAAATTAAGTAGTTTGAGGTATACCTTCACTAAGCAGCTTTTACACTGATTCTACTAATAATAATTTAAATGAGGAATTATGGACATTGGAAAACTTGGTTCATTTGGAAAATAGATCACAGTTTCCCGTATTAAGAATAGTGCTAGATTTTAAATACTGTTCTGCTCTTTGGTATTTTCATGGAATACCTTTTCTTTTAGCATACAGAGTGCAGAAAGCTAGATCTAGTTAACTGTAAGGCATTTAATTAAAACAATTTCCCTCATCTGCATTCTTAATATAAATTTAGCAGACAGAACTTAATGGACTACCATAAAACATTTGACAGACAAATCTACCTTTACTTGCAACAGCAAATTGACAGAGGTAAGGAAGAAACAGAGTAATTTAATTTTTAGTCTTCAATCATTTTATAATATGAACTTATGTGTATGTTTCTTTCTATATTTTAATTGCCTTAAACTGCAGATTTTTTTTCCTTCTTTTGTTTCTCCATTATTGTATTACAAATTGTTGAAACCACATTTCAAAGCAATTTGCCATGAGACTGGAGGGAAAAACAAGTCTGTAAAATGGTTTGGAAAGACCTGAATTCTGCCTTAAATCTATATTTTTATTTGCTTAATTACTGGGGGCCACTTCTAGGTAGTAAGACAAAATTATCTAAAGTATTATTAATGCCTAGTTTTATAAATTTTATAAGCATAGATAAGTAGCTCTGAAAAATCACTTCTTGGGGCTTTCATGACTCCTCATCCTTGAATATATATTTCAGAAGTCCAAAAAATTGATTTCAGGGTAATTTTAAAATGTTGGGGCACACTAGGGCAGGGGTCCCCAACCGCCGGTCCGCGGACCGGTACCGGGCCGCGGAACAAGCCTTACCGGGCCGCTGGTTGCTGGGCGCCGCCATCTTTTTTTGGTAAAAAAAGCAATTTTTTGTCAAAAAAGATGGCGGCACCCAGCTGACGCCGGAACCGGGCCGCGGCGTCGAAAAGGTTGGGGATCCCTGCACTAGGGGTCTGTAAAAGTTACTGCTATCATTCATACAGATTTATTCAGAAATTTCATCTGACAGTAACACATACCTGGTATCTTTTTGGCCCAATGGCTGCCATCCAAATACCCATGCTTACATCTTCACCCTAAGTGTATAAATTAAGTCAGAACCAAAACAAGGAATGTAGTAAATAACCACAATCAGAACTGAAACTCACTGCAGAAAGCACATGCTTCACAAAATAAAGTTTGCCTTATTTTTAAACACTTATGTTGGCAGTGTTTGTTTAGATTACAGATGCCTCACAACCCTATACCAAAAAAAGCATAATGAAGAACTTAACCACTTTCATAAAGAAAAGGGCTTCCTCAAGTCACAGCAGATTTCCAATAATTTCATAATTTAAATTGTAGTTTTCTTTGTTTTGGCAACAAAATGGAAGTAGTTTGCCATTGTCACTTTCTGGGTTTTTTCAATTCTCCAGTCCTACCTATGATATCACATCTAAATATTAATCAGGTCTGATCTTGCACAGCTTTTTGCAGGGGGATAAGTCAAGATTGTCTATTGCAATATTTCTCAACCTCAGCAACTTTTAAGAAGTGAGGACTTCAGCTTCCAAAATCTCCAGCCATCCTGCTATCTGAGGTAATTCTGGAAGTTGAAGTCCACACACATCCAAAAGTTTGTGAGGTTGATAAACAGTGGTCTAATGTAGTATGAGCATTCTGTCTAGTCAGAATTCTGTGTATACCAATCATTCACCTACCTACCAATGTGCAAATGTTTCCATTATTTTGATTTTATACATAGTTTACATTACAAAAGAGAGAAAGTACAGGTAGTTCTCAAATTATGACAGTTCACTTAGTGACTGTTTGAAGGGACACAATAAACCCCCCAAGTATTTATGACACAGTCCTGAAATTACAAATGTTGCAGTATCATGGCAATTGTTCGCTGATATAAACAACCACAGAGGCATTCAACATTCACTCTATTCCCCCCTCTCCACAACTGCCTTCTCATCCCATCCTGCCATGCGGGACAAGAGTGAAAGGTTCTGGGGGCCATGATCTCATGTACCTTCAGGCACCAATTCTCTGCAAAAGTAGCTGAGTGCTTGAAGTCACATGAGATCACGGTCCCCAGAATCTTTCACTATCGGCACGAAAAGCATTTGCAAGCCGACTGGATGCTGGAAGGGAAATCGTCCTATTCTCCTTTCCCTCAGAAGCAAAGAAACCATGGCAGAGAGCAGACAGATCTTTGTAAGGTGAGTCTGGTGTGGCAGGATGGGAGAGGGGAAGCATGAGGTATCTCAATGGGTTGGGTGGCCTGTTCCATCACTAGGGCCCCCCCATGGCCTTCCCCACCCTGAGATACCTCGTGCATTTAACAACCTACACATTTTATTAGCGAATGCATGGCCAAAAGCAGGGAGTGATTAAGTTCAGGTTACATGATTCATTCCTACAAATCTTCGAGTTACGAATGTAATTGGCAGGCTCTATTACATTTGTAACTTGAGGATTACCTCTGTGAATTTGCACAAAGAATCTTGAAGGACTACTTATCTTTAATGTCAGAAATCTAGGTTTTATCAGTGATCCAATTTAGTCAAAAGGTAGAATCCCACTTTGCTCTAATCATGCCCATCCCTCCTATCAAAAGACTTACCTGATATATTTTGAGTCTTTCAGAATTGCTTGCTAGCCATTCTACAACATCTTTGGAAATAACATAACCAGATCCACAAGCAAAAGCTGGGTATGCGGGACTTGGGTACTCCAACTCCTGCCACTTCCCAGTCCGATCAACTGCCCAATTTAATCTGAAACTTAAGCCAAAATGTTGTAATTTTGATACAAAAATTAATAAATACTCCTCTAACCTATCTGAGCAATTGAGCTTTCCTAAGCTCTATTTCACGGGCTTAAGTAACAGAAGAATCCAAACTCATTTCATGGCTTTGAGAGGTTTGCCAATAGACATAATTTCAGTTGGGGTTTTATAATGTGAAGGATAGCAGTATCTGTGTCACCACATTTTAACCTTTGGGTAGAACCCATTATTTAAACTCTTCAATTAAAATACATTCCAAAGAGGAAGAAAAATAAATAAAAAATAACATCCCATTAGAATATTCTTGTAACTTCAGTAGACAGATTTAAGATCCTTAAAGGAGTAATTCAAGTATTTGGATTTCTTTTTCACTTTATTCCAGGGCAAATAGGAATGTAAATAGTAGTTTGTCACTGCCTTCTGAGATTTTTGTCTGTTTCCCGCTCTAGACTACAATCCCAGAATTTTATAGAAGTCTCCTAACCAACTACTAATCATGGCCTACTACTCTTAAACAAAGTTTAAAAGACTAGAGAATTCTGAAAGACCAGAGAATTCTGGAAGTTATACATTTTAAAGTTGCTAAGTTTGAAAAATGATGTAAATTGAGAAATTATATCACTGCACAAATTATATTAAGCCACACAATACTTTACTTAGCAACACAACGGACAATCCTAAACCCCAAAACCCTACTCCTTACCCCCTCCCCCCAAATCTGTCCGCTAAAATAAGATTTCACTGTTCATTCTCACTAAGCATCTGCACATAGTAGTAAGTCAAGACTGGGAAATTTATAGCATTTATTAACTTTAAAGTTCCTTTGTGAGAGATGAATTCAGACTTCCTATGAGTATTTGTCCTTTACCAGCAGCTTACTGCTCGGTAAACAGAAACAGGCATTGGGATTAAAAAGGAGAATATATAAGAGAGGGGAAAGTCCTGTCAAAGAAATACTAGTTTTTGGCTTTAATCCTTTCCAGCTCCTTGAGTAAACAGCCATATACATATCCATATTTCTTGCTGCCTGACTCTACAGATAGACACACAGAAATAATTAAAATAACTCAATGTAGTTTGCTCATTGGTCAACCAGTTTTTAAAATTATTTTTCTATTAAAAAGATCTTGCCTTCTTTTAACAGTCAACTCACTTTAACTGCAGCACAACTATTTTGATTACTATGAAATTCTTTATACTAACTGTATAAATAACAACACAATATATTAGAAAACAATACTCACTTTCCCCACCAGATATTTGGTCTGCCCAAGTTTTTAAGCTTTATTCTGTTAAATATTGTCTCTAAATCTATGTAGCAGTCATCATCTGTTTTCAGCAGGACATCAAAACTTGTAGCTTCTACAGTCCTGTATCAAAATCATCAGTGTTATCATCATCTAGAAAAGTATTTTGTCAATATGCATTCTTATCTGCCACGAATGGCAAGTACTCTGATCAAGTTTTAATTAAACCCATAATAGCAAGTAAAACAATAATCGTATTCTAAGAATATTTTAAACGGTGATCCAGCACATTGTAGAATGTCTCATTCTTATCTTCTCATCCTTGAAGGCTACATTAAATAAAGAAGCAAAGAAAAGGAACCTGATTTACAACATTGTTGCCAGAAAATGGCATTTACTTCCAGTTTCCAGTAAAAAAAAAAATCCCCATAGTAAACAATGGGTTAGTTTAATAACCCATTCAGCTATGTTTGCTGAACAACAACTACTGCATTTGCTTTATGACCACTGCAAAAAAGGTGATAAATCAGTCATGGTCATGTGATGACCCATTTAACTATCACAACGTACAACCAAAATTGCAGGCTCAATTATGCTCCTAAGTCAAGGACTATCTGTATTCAGTGTCGTGTTAATTTTATACCAGAAATCAACAAGCAAAACCCATATGATACCTCCACCCCACACTCCAGCTTACCATCGATAGAAATTCAATAATTTGGCTGGAACATTTCTGTAAGTATCAACAACATCAACAAAAACTATGTCATCGTAAATGTTGCTTTCTTCCTTCAGTAAGGCATCCTCCTTTTCTAGTTTGCTCATATGGTTTAGGAATCTTTCAGAGCGACTCTGCAGGGTTTGTAAAAGTATTTCACCTTCTGAAATAGAAGCAGTAAAAGGCTATCTCACATTACAATCTTCTGTCCTTACATTGAAGGGTTTTTAATATACTTCCTTTGAGCTACGTCCAATGTTACATATATCCTTGTGCATTGAGGTTTCTTGTTCTTCTCCCAATCCCACCCAAATGTGGCATCACAGACTCTCAACCCTCCATATCTTATTTGAAACTTGCATACGGAAAAGGAATTCATTTCGCTATCGGACTTTGATCAACAAATGCATTCAATAAAAGACAAAGCTGTGCAACTATAGTCAATTTATTAGTTCAACAAACTTGTACAGTCTTTAAGGAACAAAAGCTAGTGAAGAATTAAGCAGCAATAAAATATTAGGCACACTGAAAAATGATTGGGCAAAATACCAAACCACACAAATTGATTTCCGTGAGTGCAAAATGCCTTTTCCTATCACTTCTCCCTCTGACTTCCTGACAGAACAATTAACTAGAGGAATGAGTTGCTTCCAGAGGTTGTGAGTGCTCTTTATAAGAACAGATTGGACAACGTTTGTCTGAAATGGTGTAGGGTTTCCTGCTTCAGCAGAGAGTGGGAGAAGAACACCTCCAAGGTCCCTTCCAATTCTGTTATTCTGAATACATGATCAAAATTTCCAGCTAGTAATCAAACAACCCAAAGTACATTTTGAAAGGAAGTGGCTACAGCAGAAAGGTGAAATTGTCTCGTTCCCATCCCTCTGATGGAAGTCCTTATGTCAGAAGCAAGGCTATTTCTTTAAATTCGTACCATTTTGCATAATAGTAAGGAAAATGCAAGACGAGAAAACTCAAGTTCAAGGATATTTGAACCACTTTGTGAACCACAACCCACAAAACATTCTTCCCCTCCAGTGGTGCAAAATGGTACAAAGACAAACTTCTACACAAGAGTCCGTTTTTGGACACTTCATGTCACAATAGCTCTGTATCCATATTTTAAGCAGTCAGACAAGTGCAACAATTCTCACTGAGACAGGATGCTCCGAGACTGAGGTAGCTGATCCACTAAAGCCACCTGGACCTGAGGTGCATTTCATCCACCTGCTTGGCATTAACAGAAGGAAGCTTCTGCACCCTTTGCTGCTTACCTTGAATGGTATAAATAAAGCCACCTGCGATCCCCTCCACACCCTGTGTAAATTCATGGGGTAGTGATCCTTCTCCTGCCTATTGTTTAAAAAGACAGTCAAAAAGTATAATTAATTAAAACGTATAACACAATATACTATACTTATTCTATTTACCCCTATTAATACGGTCTAAATTTGATTGTACTGTCAGAATTCGTTTTTAACAATAATTTCTTACCCCCAGAGGGGAAGTGACCTTCCCCTCACACTTCCAGTTTTCCAGCAGAATGCTAAGACCTGGCTTTGCCAATTATTAGCATGGACGTCTAAAAGTTTGAAGTAGCCCTGGGGAATGGCTAGTGGCCCGAGGACAACTTCCTAACTTTTGAATTTTAACCTTGTTAAATTTTACCTGTAAGTTTTAACTTGCTTTTAATTCAGTTTCTAAGCTAAGCTTTTGTCCATGTACTTACATGGCTTTATTATGGTAAACCACTTAGATAGACAGTATAGAATTTTAATAAATTGATAAGCACATTTCTTAGTGCTCTGATAATTTATAATTCATGGTCTCTTGCCTCTAGTATTCCCAAAATTCCTAAAACTTTTAATGGGAGAGGGACATAGGCCACAAGCCATGGAAATGTCAGGAAAGTTCTACTCTGCAAATAAAACAAAACTTGTCAGCTCACAAGATCCAACATTTTCTCTCTAAAAATGTATCTACCTGCAAACGTGTATGTAGGTATATAATGTCACCAGGGGTGGGATGCAAATATTTTTACTACCAGTTCTGTGGGAGTGGCTAGGTGGGAGTGGCTAGGTGGGAGTGGCCATGTGACTGGATGGGCATGGCTTTTTTGCAGCAACCCCCCCCCTCACTGTTTTTTTGCCTCCTGGGCCTCAGGGAAGCCTCCTGGGAGGCTGTTTTTGCTCCTGGGAGGCTTCCCTGAGGCCCAGGAGGCTTAAAACGGAACACGGGGTGGGGTGGGGGCACGCAGCGCGCGCGCGCACACACACACAGCTCTTATTTTGCCTCTCTCTGCACAGCTGATCGTTAACAATGTATATAAAATACCCTGTGCACAAAGCAGTCCCATGCAGGAGTAATTATTTTCAAGTGCTCTGTTTTTTAATCAGAACATGCATGTTTCAGACGTTTTTGTCTCTATGCTGAATTCTTTTTTTCTTATGTTGAGATTCATCTCAAATGTCCAATTCTCTGCACAGCTGACTTTCTGGTGTAAAAGAATGGTAATTTTTCATCCCATATCAAAGGAGTAAGGAGCAAGGAGGTGAGACACCAGCACAAGGCTGGGTTCAGGCAAGAGTGCAGGATCCTCCCCCAACCCACCAAGGGTCAATTCAGTGACCAATCAGGATTACAGATGTGGTCACATGACATGGACTACATTTCCCAGGATACCTTAACTACATTTACCATGATGCATTCCCTTAAGGGGACAGCTCCCAATTCCTAACTAACTATCCCAATTCCCTATTAACTGTAACTGGCTGGACAGCACAAGACAGAATGAAACACAATTGCTTCAGAGAGCAGTGGCGAAAGATAATAGGAAAATCTCAAGGCTGCAGGGTTTTCTTGGTGGTAGCATATATACTGACATTGACAACAGAGGAAGGCGCTGAGAAGCTCAGTGGAATTTCTCTCATTGGGACATCAGGGAAAAGCAAACCAGCTGCTGGAATGTGCCATGTTCTGAGCCTGTCCTTCCCTGCCATGACCACTGCAGTAAGGGGCAAGTGCACTGTAAATACACTGATGGCAGCAGCTGGAAGGAAGCCAAGGAAGGAAGGTTATGGGAAGATGGCAGGTTGGCAGTCGGGTGGAATAGATGGGGGAGGAAGGAGGAATGTATTGGGAAGATAGGGGATGGCGTGCAAACTCCATGGAATGGATGATGCATAATAGGCTCAGCTTCTCAACCATTAAATCACCCTGAATCAGTCTGGGTTTCGTTTCATCCAAAATCTGGGACGACTAGAACACTCCAGCTTTTGTTTCAGTTACACTGTGTCCGGGCCCAAATCGTTTGGCAGATTTTCTAGATTACGTTGGCTTGTGTCAGAGTTAGAACAAAAGATGTTTTCTATTTTGTACGTAGCCTTCGTGGAACTCAAACTTGCAAAGTCTGAACAAAAGTTAACTCTGGGTAAAAGAACGATTTTGGATACAGAGCCCTCTACTTTATATCTATGATTTGTAAAGTACAACTCAAGAGGACCACTGCCTTCTGGTGTACAGGGAATTAGAACTGCAATCCAACGGAAGATGTTTTAGGTGATAACTCATGGGTCAACCCAATTATGTTTGTAATTGTTAATTGGGTAAGCATGAATAAGAGAGTTCCAAATACTCCTGCAAACAAAAAGCTGACAGGTGTGTAATGCACATTTTTGGATGGCCTCCAACATTCCAGTAAAGGAGAAACAGCATACGCAGCTGTTTCTCACAGAAGTCATACATGGA